TGACAGAGAAGTGGTGGGTGAAGATCAAAGACTACAGCCTTCAGTATGGATTACACCTCAACATAAAGAGAACAAAAATCTTCACAACTGGACCAATAAGCAACATCATGATAAATAGTGAAAATATTAAAGTCAAGGATTTCATTTTACTTGTATCCACAGTCAATGCCTATGAAAGCAGCAGTCAAGATATCAAACAACGTATTGCGTTGGGCAGATCTGCTGCAAAAGACCTGTAAATTGTTAAAAAGCAAGGATGTCACTTTGAGGAATAAGATGCGCCAGACCCAAGCCATGGTATTTTCAATCACCTCATATGCATGTGAAAGCTGGACAATGAGTAAGGAAGACTGAAGAAGAACTGACACCTTTGAATTATGGTGTTGGCAAAGAATATTGAATATACCATGGACTACCAGAAGAATGAACAAATCTGTCTTGGAAGAAGTATAGCCACAGTGCTCCTTAGAAGCAAGGATGGTGAGACTTCGTCTCACATACTTTAGACACATTATCCAGAGCGACCAGTCCCTGGAGAAGGACATCATGCTTGGTAAAATAGAATGTCAGTGAAAAAAGAGGAAGACCCTCAACGAGATGGGTTGACACAGTGGCTGCAACACTGGGCTGAAGCATAGCAAAAGATTGTGAGGATGGCTCAGGACCGGACAGTGTTTTGTTCTGTTGTACATAAGGTCGCTATGAGTCAGAACAGACTCAATGGCACCAAACAACGAAGTATGTATGTACCACATTTTATTTATCCACTCACCCCTTGATGAACGTGTGCCTTGTTTCCACCTTTCAGGTTTATTTTTAACTTTACTTAAAATATACAATTTTTGAGCCAGAGATTCGTTGTTTTGCCTCAAATTATCTGATGAATTATCACAATTTCTTATTTACCGTCTCACCTATCTTGAAGGCAATTCCGTAAAAGAAAATATGCTTTGAGCTGCAGCCCATTTCATCACACCTTCTAGAGCATGCCACGTCCACATCCGCCCTCTCCCTCTCCCTCTCTCTGCCTTCTTTTAAAGAATGTCCAAGTGGTAAGCCCCAGCAGACTGCCATGTGGCATGACTGTTCCTTAATTCCAGCCATCGCTGCTATCTACTGATCGCCATGGCTAATCACATGGTATGACAGTCTGCACCAGTCATTAAGGGGACCCAAATTAACAGCCTGACCATGTCACAGTACATTCATTCCACATATACAGTCATGGCCTAAGTGTCAGGCAGAAACCCGGATGTGCTTTTGGGTGTGTGCATTGTAACATGCATTATTGATTGTCATGAGTTGCTCTGGTCCTTTAAATCTGTAAATGAGAATCATCTATCATTTACTACAGCCAGAATTGAGATCTGAGGTCACGAGAGAAAGTCTGTATACCTTTCTCTACCCTCGGTTTCTTTCATTTGTCGTTTTCCTTTGCAGTTATGTTGTAAAACATCATAGCCCCAAGATGTTCCCCAGCTTTTTAGTTAAAGGGATGCTTAATCTGAATGGTTTTACATCCTGAAAAGAGAAACAAATCTCACCGAGCCAGGTGAAGAAGGTAGTGCAGGCTCTGAATTGTGAGTTCACTGTGGGACTTTTGTAATTCAGTTTTCTAGTGTATACTGATCGGTAAAGCTCAGTCCTTAATAAAGCACGGGCAGCCTTATCTTAATCACAATTGCAATTGTTGGGACCTTGCAATGCCTGGTGTAAATGATCCCCCCAAATATTTGCATTCTTGATAGTCATTTTTCTGCAATGCATTCTAATAATTAGAGGGTCCTATTACCTGCTAAGTGTTAGTATAAATTAACAATCCATTATGCACAATAAGTTTTATAAAACATTTACAGATATGAGATCATGTTTAATTAAAATTAACTTGCATATGAAAGCCAAGTGCACTAATGATCACAGTGACCTTTTATTACCTGCGGTCCCTTGTTTTGGCTGGATGATTGACAGCTTGCTGTTTGGCTACCATGTTGAATTTCAGCTGACAAGACTTTTCATTTTAACTCAATTTGCCCGCCTATCACAAGCTGGTGGCAGGCCAGACCCAAGTCACCCAGCTTTGCCTCAGCAGCTTGCTCTAGTTCTCATTAGTACGCATTTATTCAGTGGAAATTGGAAGACAAATGCTTGAAGGCATGTGAACTAAGTATAGCAAATTAGGTTTAAAGACTGAATATTTATAAGTATATGGAAAGTTGTTTTTTTTTTTTTTTTTTTTAATTCTAGAGCAAATTGAGAACTGAATGCTAGCTTTGGTATAAAAGAAATGAAGATAGAAGGGGGAAGTTTCTAAGAATAACAATACTATAAGCTTTTCCTTTCCATTTTGGTAATACGTAAAGTCTCTCTGACAACACCTTATCAAGTAGCAACCTGGCTTCTCTTTCATGGAGTGCTTGCACAATGACGTTTAGCACCTCGTGGGTGAGAAGGGGGAAAAAATGAGGGTCATGTTCATTTGTTGCTGGGTTATCCCTTGGTATGTTTTAAATTGCCTTGTTTGTTCGGCACTAGCACAGAAACAGATGTTGCTCTACCGTGCAGGATAATTTACTGTACCTCCTGGTGCAGCATGGAAGCCCTCCCCGGGCCCAGCTGGTCTGTCAGAGGCACTGGCTGGTATGTGCTCAACTCTGGCAACTACAAGGAGGGGCTGCAGTGTTTTATTGTGCGGTTGTCATTCTTCTCAACATATAGCTCTGCCCGCATTCTTCCTGGGGCTAGCGGGAAAGCTGCTTGCTTTTGTGTCTGTAGGTTGTACTGCGGTTTCACCCAAGCCCCACTCTCCATTGTTGATAATAATGCAACTCATTACTTTTGTCATCTAATGATTATCGGCATGATCGCTCAGAGCAAGAGCCAAGCCTGCCTTGCGCACATAACTGGTACTGGAAGGTAAAACAGATTTGTCATTTACGATCTGACCGCTAAGCCACACTTTGTGCTCCATTATTGTGATTAACTTCTGCATAAGATATGCTCGCCCAATTGTCATTTGTGATACTGCAGTGGGCACAAGCTGCCATGCTTTCCGTGGGCTCATCAGCCAATAGGATGTGACCATGTTATTTGGACTGTTAAATGCCTGGCCTTTCAAAGCAGCCACCCCACAATTATTTTGCTTTTGTGTTTCTTCTCCCTACACCTCTAGTGGACTTGTTGGGTGAACAGGGCTCCTACACATGTCAGCAACCATTTCACACCACGAGCTAAAAGGATGCTCTGCTATTGTTTATCCAGCAGAGCCAGCCACGATCCATGGGACACTGACCCTTGCTTTGCACCATAGAAATTTTGGTTGCTGGTGAACTGCCAGTTGAAATCCATCGTTTCAGATGCCTTGAGGCTATCTGCAGTGGAGTTCACGTTCCAAAACCAAAGTTCTTTTCTGGCTTCATCACCAACAAGCCGACTTGACTCTGGCTGATTATAGTAACAAAGGCAGTCCAGAAGAATATGCACAGCCTCACTGTACATCACATTGAATCACCACACTGGCCACACAGAGCTGGCCACAGCCTCATTTCTTTAGACAATTGCGTGCTTAAGGAAAAACCTCTTGTGAGAAGGTACCAGAGCTACTGATACCCCTGTGCAAGCTGGGCATGGATTTAAATTTTAGCAAAATAACAGCCATCTTTGTCGACTGATGCACGCCTTTTCTGACGAGCTTACATTTAATCATCTCGTAATCGTTGGGTACTCTGCGTTTCAGAGCTTTGCTGAACCCTAAGGCTGTGTGTGTGTGTGAGAGAGAGAGAGAGATTTCTAAATTACAATCCATAAACACAACCATTTGTTATAATGTGAAGGGGAAAAAAAAACTCAATTTGGAGCTCTTTTTCACATTGCTGATTAGAAAGAAACAAGCTTTATATTCTAGGGCCCATTCACGCTGGTGGAAACATAGTCAGTTTTGATTATGAAGAGAGAGATACAGACAGAGACAGGAGCTACATGCTGATATGCATGCTATCAGAATGATTTATGCAAATTATGCATATTATTCCCAAAGGAATTCCTCCTCAAACTGCCAGGATAAATTGCCGGAAATTAGCCATAAAATCTGTCGTGCTAGGAGCAAAAGGTGAAGGCCACTGGGAAAGCAAAGGACATTCGGCTTCTGGAATCTTCCAGGCAATGATGACGGCTGTTATTTTCTCTGGATGCTGAGGAAAATATAGTTTTTCTCCCAAATCCTATAAAAGTATTTTCCCTTTGAAATTTTTCCAGCAAATGCTGACTCATATTTTATTTACAGCTAACATAAAAGAAATTAAGTGTTAAGCTGTCTGAGAAAGCACTACTACAATTACTTTACTATTAACTGCCTAAATGGTGATTAAATGGTGAAGCCTGGCTTTAAAGGTGTCACTGTTCTGAAGGTTGGTGAAATAACCCACCAGTGGTGTACTTTGACAGCGATACAGTTGTAATTTCCGGAGTGTATCCCCATAACACGGCATTCTTCTCTTTCAGACCATCCTTTCCTGACAATGACTTTCTGCCTAAGCACAGCGCTGCTGCCTCCTGCCTGTGAAGCGCCTCCAAACTATGTTTCCCCACACCCCTTCCTCGCTCTCCCTAATCCCCAGCCCCCCCGCCCCGCATGCCTCTCTATCGGTGCCCAACAGATATGATTAAGAACATTTTTCCTTTTAAATCAAGGCTATTGGTAATGAGCTTTAATAAGAAACAGAGAGCACTTTTCAGGAATTAAAAAAAAAAAAACATTGCCCTCAAGTCAATTTGGACTCATGATGACCCCATATGGTGTTACAGAGTAGAACTGTGCTCCTTAGGGCTTTCTTGGCTATAATCTTCATGGGAGTAGATCACCAGATGTTTCTTCTGAGGCACCTCTAGATGGGTTCAAACTGCCAACCTTTGGGTTCGTGGTTAAGTACAAACCATTTGCGTTACCCAGGAACCTTCAGTAACAATCATGTTTTAATAATCTTTTGTTCACTTGTTTCCTTTAGAAAGCATTATTCTTGAGGTTCTACGGCTGTGTTCCTTTTCAACCACCTTTCGTTATGTTGAAGAGGATTTGGCTCTACCTGTGGAGTCCGGGGACTGCCGTTTGCGAAAGGGAGACTTGGTGGCCATCTTCCCTCCAGTCTTACACCATGACCCCGAAATCTTTGAAGCACCAGAGGTAAACATCAAGCCTGTAGATGCCCCGTCTTAGATACTGCAAGCACATGGCTCCTTCTCATGATCTATCTTCATCTTTTCCTCTTACCACCGGGCTCCACAAGGGATATGACACCACTTGATGACTTCAGTTTTTCCTTCTAATGGAAGCGTTTTCCTGTTTACTGACATTTTTCCTAAGGATCTATCTTTCAAAGGTTTCATGATCCATAAAAAGAAATACAGTGATGAGACTAAATGCTAATTTCTTCAAAAGAAATGGACATTATACCTTGGCTACCATTAGCTTTAGGCCAAAATTGGGGTTTGCTTGGCAGAGATTATTAAAAACCATGGAGGGTTGGTGATTGACAAGTAGCTTAGAGAACAAATAGTGACAACTATTTTCTAAGTGTTTCCAAGGTGTAGTTGACTCTCCCGGAGCCAAATACCATCATTGCCATACTTAGACCCATACGCTTTTTCACCTCTCGCTAAAGGCAGGTGCCCCTTCTTGATCAATTAGTATAGCATGATGAACTTGAGGTTGTAATGCTGCTGCCCACGGTGAAGCTCTGAGGGTAATTGTGTCATCTCCTTGTATTTTTTTTCTGAAGCTGGAGTTAATGAATATCAAAGACTGGAAATTAATCCACCCTGGCTCATCTTTAATACCACTTCGAAGGTTCACCACCTGCATGCAAATTGAATACAGTCGTATTCTGCCTGCACTTCACAAGTCATGTTGTTGCTGCAGTGTTTTTGTATATAAAATGCCAGTTTTCAAAGGGAAACTTCTGGGCTCTTCCTGACTAGTTCATACCTGGGCCACTCCTAAACCCAATTTCTAAGCAGTTAAATATTTTGCAGCCAGGCTGGATTAGAATATTGCTGGATTTTGAAAATTAATAAGAGAGCAGATTTCAAATACAATAAGATCATTTGCATTTATTTCATTAGCAAAGGCAGAATTTTTTAAATGAGGGGGGAAATGTACATATGGTGTCTGTATGTTTCAGAAGGAAGGCGTTACACAAATGAGGATAGTATATAGGAAGTAGGATAATAGTGAGGGAAGGAACATTCTGCAGAGAACAAGCTTTAGCTCCACGTTTGTAAGTATCAAAAAATCCCACACATATGTAGACATTCATTAAATAGAGCAAATGAATAACCAATATCTGAAATATATTTTTAAATCTTAAAATAGTTGCATTTCTATCTACAATTTTTAATTTACTTAACTACTCTTTATTTATTTTCATTGTGTGATTATCCCACTAGTCATTAAGTTTAATATTCTTATGTCATGATAGTAAAGTCAACATTAAAATTATCAACAAATCCTCAGTAAATGTTTACCAAATTGCCATTATTTTTTGTGGCAGTGTTCATTGGGCTTTCCTTCCTCCCTCTGTCCTAAGGATGGAAAAGACCTTAATTTAGACTTTAGAAATTAAAAAATCAAAGTTAAAAATTAGAAGTGTGCTACTTTATATTTAAATAACAATGTTTCAACTTTACGTAATTAATCAAGCAATCTTAATAGTAATCGAAAAGGTTTACGTCATACTCAATCTGTGGAAGAACAGACTTGTAATATTATATACTGATTCAGCACGATTAGTATGGCTCCAACCTGAGCTAATGAAGATTTTCTATTATTTACTAGGTTTAACATTACCCAATTATGCCTGACTAATATTAACATTAACTAGCTAACTTTTTGCCATGCTATTGTTTTCTAGAAATTAGTTGTGGTATGCTGATAATTCCTGGCACAGAATACATGATACAGTTCTGAACCACTTTTATATGATTTAGCAAGATCTTATTCAATAAACCATTCATTCAGTAAACCCTTACTGAGCACCTACTACTGCCAGGCATACAATTTTTTTTATTTTGTTCTTAACAACTTAGGATGATAATCAGTAAAAGCTATAGATGCTCATATAACAGATGTCCACCCCAAATCATGCACAGACAATAAAAGAGAGAAAAAAATTCTGCCCTTCACCTTTTGTCCCTGAGAGCTCTGGCCCAGGAGCTCCTTGGACACTCATATTCACCACTGCCTGCCTTTTGTACCCTACAGAGCTTGAATGGGAAGACTAGGACTTAGATGCAGAAAATAGACAATACCTGTTAGACCAAAAATATGAAGAAGACTAACTCTGAATATAGATGTAGTTATTGTGATACAAACAGGTAACCAAAAGGCTGAATGTTTGAATCCACCCGCAGGAGCCTAGGAAGAAAGGCCTGGCAATCTACTTCCAAAAAAAACAGCCATTGAAAACCATATGGAGTACAGTTATTCTGTGACACAGATAGGGTCACCATGAGTCAGAGTCCACTTAAAAGCCACTGGCTTTATTCTGGAAGAACATAGAGACTGAAGAACCCCAGCAGAAATAGACTTTTTTGACCCAATGAGGGATGCTTTCAGAATGTTTGGAGCCCCAAGAGACTCCAGAATATTATATTCCTAAAACAGACCATGCTTTTTCTTCACACTTTAGGGCTTTTGCACATGTATCTCTCTATTCTTAGAATGTCCTCTCTTATTTGTCCATCTGTTGTTGCTAGTTGCCTTCAAGTCAATTCCAACTCATGGCGACCATGTATGTGCAGAGTAGAACTGCTTCATAGGGTTTTCAAGACTATGACTTTTTGGAAGCAAATTGCCATACATGTCTTCTCAGGCACCTCTGGTTGGTTCCAACTGCCATCCTTTCAACTACTAGTCAAGCATTTAGCCATTTGTGCCACCCAGGGACTCCTAGAAGGCTCCAAATTATTCCAAGAGTTATCATAAATACTTACCTCTCCTTTGATGATGTCTGTTTTCCCCACCTCAGTCCTCAGAGAGTTTGCCACTGCTCACTTTGTGGTCTGTGTGCACCTCTGTTGTGGCATGTATTGCACGACATTTTGCAATTACCTGTTTACAGGTCTGGGCTCCCATATGCTGTAAGCTCAGGAAGAGAGAGGACCATGCCTTCTCTATCTCTATTTTCTCGGTGACCAACCAACAGGAGGTGGTCCATATAAGTTGAATAAATAAGGGGATGTGTTATGGATAAATGGACTGATGGTGAAAATACACTTCAGTTAAAATTTTAAATCAGGATAGACATTGCACATACCAGCATGTCCTGGGCCCAAGGCGATCACATAGAGGAAGTGGGCTGTGTATAAGTATAGCAACATTAATAGGAGTGCAGAGGACTGTGGCGAAGGGAGAGTCCAGAAGGCATTTAGATAGGACCATTTGGCTACTTCTGAATTAACCCTCAGCTCTTGTAAGCATATAGACCTGGCATAACCAAGTCATTTGAATTTTTTTTTTTAATAAGAACCTGAAATTTTTTTTTTCTAGATGAAAAGTCCAATTTTTAAATGTTGGGAAATTTTATTTTTAAAGTTTAAAACACAGTGTGAGCTAAACAAAAGATTAGCCTTATAGAACATCTGGAAATAAGATCAAGAAGGAAACAGGGGACCTGAATGACACTATAAACCAACCAGACTTAACAGATATATATAGAACACTCCGCCCAAAAACAGCCCAAAAAAATATATATATACACATTCTACTCCAGTGCACATGGATCATTCTCCAGGATGGATGACATTTAATGTCACAAAATCAGTCTTGATAAATTTAAAAGGGTTGAAATCAAAGTATTTTCTCTGACCACAATGGAGTGAAGCTAGACATCAATGACAGAAAAAAACCTGGAAAATACACAAACATATGGAAATTAAACAACACACTATTAAATTATCAGTAGGTCAAGGAAGAAATCAAAAGAGAAATCACAGATTTCTTAGAGTCCAATGAAAATGAAAGCACAACATACCAAAACTTATGGGATGCAGCGAAGGCAGTCTCAGAGGGAAACTTATAGCAATAAATGCTTACATTAAAGAAGAAGAAAGATCTCAAATTAACAGCCTTACTTGACAACTCCAGGAACTAGAAAGAGAAGAGCAAACTAAGCCTAAACCTACAAGAAGAGAGGAAATAACAAAGATCAGAGCAATAATAAATAAAATCAAAAACAGAAAAACAATAGAGTCAATAAACCCATAAATAATTGGTCCTTTGAAAAGATCAATAAAATTGACAAACCTTTAGCTAGACTGACGAAGAAAAGAGGAGAAAAGATGCCAATAAACAAAAAAAAAAAGAAAGAAAGAGGAGACATTACAACTGACCCGACAGAAATAAAGAGAATTATGACAAAATATTACGAATAACTGTATGGTGACAAACTGGATAACCTAGATGAAATGGACAGATTCTTAGACACACACAACCTACCCAAACTGACTCAAGAGAAAATGGAAAGTCTCAACAGACCCATAACAAGTGAAGAGATCAAATCAATGATCAAAAACCTCCATCCCTTCCCCCCTCCTAAAAAAACTCCTGGACCAGAAGGCTTCACTGGGGAACTCTACCAAACATTTAGAGAAAAATTGACACGAATACTGTTTAAACTCTTCTAAAAGACAGAGAAGGAAGGAATACTTTCTGATTCATTCTATGAAGGAAACATAACCCTGATACCTAAATGAGACAAAGACACCACAAGAAAAGAAAATACAGGCCGATATCTCTTATGAATATGGATGCAAAAATACTCAACAAAATACTAGCAAACAGAATATTAAAAGAGTCATGCACCATGACCAAGTGAGATTTATTCCAGGAATGCAGGGATGCTTCAACATTAGAAAATCAATCAACATAATACACCACATCAACAGAACAAAGGAAAAGGAACACATGATTATGTCTATAGATGCAGAAAAAGCATTTGACAAAATCCAACACCCTTTCTTGATGAAAACCCTAAAGAAGATTGAAATAGAAGGGAAATTCCTCAGTATGATTCAGGGCATGTATGAAAAGCCAATAGCCAGCGTTACACTTAATGTAGAAAAGACTTACAGCTTTTCCCTTGAAGTTGGGATCAAGACAAGGGTGGCCACTCTCACCATTTCTAT